TCTTTCCCTCACACAGGCCCCTGAGGACAAGGGGGAGTGTCTCCCCTAATCTGCCATCTGCCCTCCTCAGGCAGCGCTTCCAGGGGCGCACACACACTGGTAAGCACGCATGCATACACAGGCACACAGCCCCAGGCAAACTCCAGAAAGGAAAGGCGGCTCACAGATAAAAAGCCACAGGGAAGGAGCAGAGGAGTGCACGAATGAAAGGCAACTTACTTTGCAGGTTATGCATTTCAACGGTTTCCCTTTGAAATGCCTGTAGCCGACAATGACCAAAAACAATCCAAAAAGCTATTATTCTTCCACCAAGTGTGCCAACCCCCACGTCTCCCCCCGCCCGCTCCAGGCGGCCAGCCGCACTTGCGCGCAGGGGCGGGGGCGCCGCGGGACCCTCGGGCTGCAGCACGCCTGCCTGCTTCTCTTCTGCGCGGTGCAAGGCTGGTGCCTCCGCCCCCACGCCCCGCCCGGCCTGGCCCGCAGCGTCGGTCCCTTGTCCTGGTCCCTGGCGGTCGCTCAGTGCCGGCTCTCCATTGAGAAACCCACTGGCCTTCGCTACTGTACTGGGGAGGAAGAGAGCCCGGGCGCTCGCACGTCCTTCTCAGATAAAGATCGCAGCTTCATGATTAACTCGGGCAGGTTCAAATATTTGCTGAGCTAGGGATTTCAGAGGGGGAGGGGCGCCCAAGTCAAAGTCAGAGTTGTCACTGGCTGACAAGTGGCCAGCGAGCTCCACTTGCTCATTTTTGCCGAGGAAATGAGAAGGCCATTGTGAGGGGACCGAAAATAGTCTCTGGCTCTGGCTGCCGCGGCGCGCGCTGGCCGGCCGTGGCCCAGCTCAAGTAGCCGACAGAAAAGCCAGGCACTATGCGCAGCCCAACACAGGAAGTGGCTGGGCTCGTTCAGCAAAAAATAGAATCAAAGCCGTGCTTGTGAAGGCCTGAACCTCTCAGAACAGCCCAGAACACCGTGCCTCGCTCGTGTCCACCTCCTGCACCTCCTCCCACACGCCAGCACAGCCAGCCCCGCAGGTGTAACAGGAAAGCCCTTGCGCAGCAACTCTGGCCAGGAGCAGATCGCACCGACGACCAACAGGGGATCAGGCCTGACAGGCATGCCATACACTCCAGGACCACGTGAAGGTGGAGCAAAAGCAAAGCACTGAGTGGTTTTATGGGTCAATTCCAACTCACATGTAAGTGGCCATTACTACTGCTTTCTAATAATGACCAGGTGTGTCTGCCTTCAGTGTATACACCAGCCACAGGGGGCAAAGGATACAGGGCAGAGAAGGCAGACCCCTGCAGGGACTTTTGTCCTTCACTGGAGAAAGCTGAAATGAACCAGAGGGAGAACCGTTGGCTTCTATCAAAAGCATTAAACTTTTACCTAGGAAACTCTCACTCGCATCAGCATACACTGTGTCAGTGTCATCCAGAGAAACATAACACATGCAAGATCACGAAATCACCAAGCTTTAAAATCAGAAGGCAATTTAGAGACCACTGCAATCAATTCCTTCATGCTACAGGGGAAAAAAATGGACCTGTGTGTGTGTGTGTGTCAA